TCATAAAAAATAAAGAACATTTTAACTGCTTTATAAATAGAAAATTTGTATGAAAATGTCACTCTGTAAAGCGCTTTAAACCTATTTTATTGTTTATGAATAAGGCTATTAGATTAAAAAATACTGAAACTTTTAAGAAAATTTGTTTAGTTTTCCTAAAAAAATCAACACGTGGTCATTTGTTTCAGTCACTGTATCTACTCTTTATATATATTATTCTTAAAAACTTTGAATATTTAATATTCATAAATGGGATTTTCGAATTTTAAAATGGGATAAACAGGACGTTTTTCAAAGGAGAATGGAATTTTCGTACATTTGGAGTTGGCAACACTGGTGACCACGTCTGTGGCTCCCAACTAAAAACCGCTTGCAGAGCAATGTGTTAATGTGTCCTTAAGGGGGAGCATGTGGGCCTCGTCGTGCAGGTGATGTTGCGGCGACATCAGAAGGCATCCTGTCGCTGTCCTGAGTGCCGTGTTTTGGCAAGTCTGCAGCTTCATCCACTGCGTCCTATTAGTCCCCGGTGAGCACACGGGCGCGGTATAGTTCAAAACCGTTGTTGCCAGCAACGTTTCTTTGTCTTTGCCCCAGATGCTGCCGGCTAGCGACTTCAGGACCTTGTTGCGGTTTTGTACTCTGTTGACAATTGCGGTTGTATGCGCCGAGACGGAGAGCAGACTATCGAAGGTTGCTCTGAGTGTCTTCGGGTTGTTCACCGTCGTATTTGGATCGTCATCGACGTGAATTCCCAGTTGTAGTCTGACCTCCTTCATCCAGGTGGTAAAAGGTGTGGCTGAGGATTTTGTAGGGGAGAGGGTTAGACTTCGTGCAGTGAATAAGCGAGAAAGCTCAGCGAGATAACCGTTTACTTTCGAACACAAGTCATCAATTTCATTCCCAGACGCCATGAGACTCCCTCTGGTGGTTGATGGAGCTTTGAAATGTAAAATTTAAAACAGTAATGGGGAAAGGGCACCACTCTGTGGAACCCCCTGTTTTATTTTCCTAAGTTTGCTTCATTTGTATCTAAAAGTTACTGACGACTAACGACTACTCAGATAATTCGCCGACCACCGTTTGAGTCCCTGTGGGAGAGAGGAGGCGTCTATGTCTGATGCTTTTCTGGGGTCAGGTGGTTCGTAAAATACGGGAGTAGCAATGCCTCTAGTGTCTTCGCTACCGGCGAAAGGAGGGTTATCGGACGATAAGACTCTCCTTTGTTGGCTGGTTTCCCCGGTTTGAGCAATGAGAACACTCCCCATCTTCCAGATGTCTGGAATGACGAGAGTGGCAGATTGAAGACCTCCGTTAGGTACGCTACTCCCGCAGGAACCAAATTTTTCAGCATCAACATGCAAATTCCGTAGGGTAGGGGCGGCGTCGCAGTTGGAGTTTGTGACCGAGCAGCCCAGCATGGGCCCTCATAGTCCCTCGTCCAATCTCGCAGTGCGCAGTCTTGAGCATGCCCTAAAGTGACATCAGCCAAGGCAAGTGTTGCACTTAACTGATATCACATTACGGAATATCCTGGACTGACACACCGTGCAAATCGTCGGAGGAACTAAGAGTTGTTGGCGGTGGAGTGTGGCGTGTGGTGCAGTTGTATCGGTGGGGTGGTCTGTTGTGTCAGTTGTGTGGTCTATTGTATTGTGTTGTGATGCGGTTGTGTTGAGTTGCTCAGACGGACTCTTTTGTGGCGTGGAGGCAGCTCTATTGGCGCAGCACCGGGTATGCGGTGGTCCACTGCCTATGAGTCAAGGCCTGAGCAAACTCGGAGATGGCTGCACCCATTGCATGTGTTGCATTTGACGGAGATGGAGTTGTGGTGTAGTCGTCTCTGGCACATGCAGCAGGTACATATATATTTTTGGTCCAGGGTTTGTCTCAATGCCAGCCCTGAGCAGAAGTATATGAAGAACATATAGCCCTATGGATGTACAACTTTTGAGGGATTTCGCCGACATAAACGTGGCTAGATCACCGAAACAACAGCCCTTGGTCGGGAAAACCCGACTCATTACAGTACGTAGAACCGGCTGTTGTGGGAATGGTTCTTAATTAATTAATTGAAAGTATTGATTAATAAAAATTCAATTAGGTAATAGAATTATAAAACATTGTTAAAAATCGTCGTTTATCATAGGCGTGACACTTTCAAGCAGCTATAACTTCGAAACCGTAAGTCACTTGACTTTGAAATTTGGTTACAATCTATGGTAGATGCTTATTATAAAGTAGATATATTTTTGTAAAGGGGGCGTGACCCACCCTATAGGTGTGAAATTTTTATCAGCTATAACTTCGGAGCCGTAAGTCACATGACTTTAAATTTAGTCTGAAGACAGATCTACGATAGATGTTTAAGGTGCAGTATCCATACTTATAAATTTTAGACACATCAACGGGTCATCGGTATATCAAGAAGAAGTGTGACGAACTTAAAATAATACGATAGGAACATCTATAACCTTGCTTGAACGGGAAAACTCTTTCTTTCTGTGGAACAGCAGAATTTTAAAAGAAGATTACACACTCTTTGCAAACCTTGCAATACTTGCAAATATGTCACAGTTGGAAATAAGAGCTCATAGCATCGAAGGAGATTAGTTCATATACCATGTGGTACCTCAGCGCTATTATTCTTAACCTATTACACTGAGGGGAAAAATATTAAAATCAAATAGAAACGTAATTGATCTTACTATAAACGTCAACGAAAGTACTGTATATTGGTAAATATTCAATTCAATTACGCGCATATTAAAATAACCGCGTTCGTACTGAAAAAGCATCCGTGAAGTGAATAAACAAGACAAAAACTAAAAATAACTTTAATTTGCGTGTTGCTTGCAGTGGAATTCGAACCCGACCATCTCCGGATATCAACAACTTGTAGCAAGCATCTTTGGGCACTCAGCTACACCCAGCCATATACATTTGCTTTCAAATGTTGAATATCCATCAACAACACAGCACGCGATTTGTACGGATAAACATGTATGTACTATGTATGTATGTGTGTGTTGTCACCACTCTGCATGCTTGGGGTGCGTATGTACACTTACATATATGTACATACTCAGATATGAACAGTCAAATACGTGCGTAATAAATTTTGTATGAAAATATTATTTTTAAATGCGAACATTTTTAAACGATAATCAAATATAAAGTATTCATTTTTACTATGCATTATTTCCCTCAGTGTAGAAAGGAAGGTTCTGCTCTTCAGCCCTTTCAACCAAACTAATAATTTTTATATTACAAACCATTTTTGCATTTCAACACTATTTTTGTATTGGCCAACGCAGAAGTTCTTATCAGGCGTCGTGAGGCAAGCCAGGTATTTGCAAGTTAATAATAAATTAAGCATTTTGTATTCGTTGAAGCTTAATTGGAACTTTTGAACCCCCTTACAATATCAATTATAATATCTAATAATTGAACGAAATACAAGAAAGCCATAGTTGTGGGATTAACCGAGGTATGAAACGCCAGATCATTTGAGAATCGCAAGAACTTCTTCACGGACATAATGCTTTCGTTAGGTTATTTAAGACTGCAATGGAAGATATGCCTTCTGACGACCATAAAGCCATAATTGGAGCAGATAAATGTGCCATTGGAAGTTGTCAACGTGAATTGTTGGTGAAAATGTTTCGATAAAAAAATTAATTTTGGGCGGGACAAAGATCGCCGGGTCTGCTAGTAATTGTTGTAAGTCCTAAATAAAAAAAGGCAAATAACTTAAGGACGAGCCCACCTAATAAATCAACAGCCACATGATCAAATTTAAATAGCAGCGGAATAGCTGCGCTTGATGGAAGTTGGGTTAACACATGAAAAAAAGGGTAAAAGCGAACTTAGCTCAGTGCTTAGCTTGGCTTTGGCTTCCGAGGTCCTGGTTCATATCTCAGTGACGGCGGTTGAAGAAGTCTGATGAGGAGATGTGGTGATCTCCGAAATAGCAGCTATAACTTCTTCCTTAGTGTAAATTATTGTTGTTTTCCACACACAATTTTTTCATGAAATACGGCCTCAAGCTCAATGAAATTGTTGAATATATTTTGCAGAATTTTTATAATTTTTGTACAAAGTTTGAAATCTGCATTTATATCGTGTTTGTTGTATAGCCAACCAGACTTTTATAAAAAAAATAATAAACATTAAATAAACAAAAGACAAATAGCCAAAACTGGTAAAAATATTGCACTCCTATTATTTTGTAGACAACTGTATGTAGATAGACACAGATTTAGAGAGAATTGCCCACTTATATGCTCACCACACCTGAACTTACCTCACGCGAATTTACAACACCTAAACTCACCTCACCTGATCTCACCACACCTAATTTCACTATATCACATGACATGACATCACATCACATGACTTGCCATGACATGACATCACTTGACATGCCATCACATGATACGGCGTCAAATAATATTACATCACCTGATATGGCACCACATAAAAGGGCATGACATTATGTGCTACGGCATGACATCGAACGATATGACATCACATGGAATGACATTATCGCGTCATCGTGCCTCACATTATCTACGTGAATATGTGGAGGAAGAATTAAATTAAACACTTTAGTTTTATAAGGACAAAGGCGATGGTTAATATGCATGTAAAAGATAAAATAAGATAAAGATTAGAATAAAGCAGAGTATAAAGATAAAATTAAATATAAAGGAAAACAGATTAAGATAAATGTAATTATAACGAAAAGGGTAGAGGTAGGGATAAAGATAGAATAGAAATGAAATATAACCTTAAGCTTGTAACATATTAACTAGCCTGTCGTTTTGTTCCCAATTTCAAACTAGTGAAATACATATACTATTGATTATTAGACAAACTAGCTACGTAACGTAAGGCGCACTTACTTTTTAATATCGATCCCACATTTGCTTATACATCTATACATACTAGTACAAAAGTAAATATTAACAAATTTATCTATTTCTGTTTTCCAATTTCAGACCTGAATTCCACTTTCAAGTCGTAATTGGGAATATAGGCAACTCGGCTTTCACATCAAATATTTAAAATATCCTGGGGTGGATTACTAATGCAAATTTTGATGAAATGCTGACATACTAAATAATTTTTTAACTTTACAAAAACTATGCAGATTATAAATTATGATGGAGACTACCAATGATCAAGAAAAAGGGAATACTGATTCTAAGGAGACCTTAGTAACAAACAGTCCTAAGAATACGAATGTATTCGACCAGAGCCTTCTAGACTGTACCAAAACCCCAGATTCACAAGAAGATTCAGTAAGATCATTTACAAGCAACGATGTTAGAGAAAATCGAGACGCGGTGCGCACTGAGACAGATACAGAAATAGAAGTGCGTGAAAAGGAGATTGAGAACGTTGTTGCAGAGCCTGTTACCGATGATGGAAATGAAAATAATGGGCAAAATGTTAGTTGTGACAACGCAACGAAACCAACTTTTTCCGATTCCGATGAGCAAAAGTCGCACTCATCGACTTCCAAAGCTCAATCACAACTTCCCCACGATCAAATCGAACAAAACTATGTAACAAACCAGCATGACTTCGAAATCATGGGTGGCAAAAATGGAGAGTTGAAAATGCTCGAATCGGATTCAAAAGATGGAACAGATTTTGAAACGTCAGCAGCTGTAATAACTCAACAGAACTATGAAAATACGCTTAGGTACCAGAGTCAAGATTTCAAAACTGAAATAAAAGAAAACAACTATAGTGTTCTTAAAGATGACGAAGACAACACCGCTAATGAGAAAGAGAATACAATTGATTCATTGGAAGACAATTCAATGGACAAAAGCGACTCACATGATGTTGAAAATGATAATGTTAAAACCCCTGAAAATGATGTTTGCAGTAGACGAGGGAAAGAATGCCTTGAATTTAAACATGAATCAAACACAGATCAAAGTGACAATCTTGATAAAGATGAACAAGAAGTAGTTATGATAAGTGATGAGGATTCTTGCCAAAGTATTACCGCAAGTGAAAATAATACCAAACCTATTTCACCAGAAATTCTGGAAAATGAGAATTATTTTAATGAAGATTCGCCAAAACAAATCAATAAAGAGAGGGAGGGGGAAATAATCAATTTAGATGGTGACTTAAGTCAAACTAGTGACCAAAATTTTAAGGATTTAGGAAACACTAAAGCTATCCAAGTTGAAGAATTTGATAAGGGCGTCATTCAAAGGCTATCGGAAAATAATGACAATAGTAAAGAGAGTGAAATATCAGATGAAAATACTAACGATGATGAAGTGAGTTATGTTCATAATGAAATATCGGATACAGATATTGTAGATAGAGTAGAGAAAATAAATAACGAACGAACAGATGTTACAAAAGCGGATGGACATTTTATTATCAAACGAAAGGAAACATCAAAGGACGAGAAAATTAACATCTCAATTAACAAAAATGAATTAAAGGTTAATGGAGATCATCACATGACATCGTCGTTATCCGAGTACCAAATAAACGAAAACTCAGATTTATGTACACGCTTAGAAGGCGAAATAAGAAATGATCGAGGCGAAGATAAGATGACAGCAAATGACGACAAAGAATTAAATATAGTCTATAAAGCGCCAAGTTCTTTCGAGAATCAAAATATTGCTGAAATGGATGTTGATAGTGACAACAAAGATGAACTATTTTCTAGGCAACTAAAAGTTATGGAAAGTGATTTCAATCGGGTCAACTGTGACGATGAAAATAGCCACTGCTCATCTGTAGCATCCGTGGCGTCTAATTCAACGGACACGTCGTCTTCACAACAACTTGTTATTGATCATCCTATGGAAGAAATTGATACTGGTTTATCAGTACCAGATGTCGGAACTGGTTCAGCCGGTTTATGTGTTGAAAGACATGATAAAACAGATAAAGTAAATTCGATAAAACTTTCATTAAAAAGAAAAATGAGTAGTTCCAGTGAAACTGGTTTATCGCCGCAACATAAACAACCACATATTGAGCCAGAACCTGTTGTCAACGAAAATATTAGTTCGCAATATTATGATGTTAATATTAATGTTGTTAATGAAGAGTCATCATTGCCAGAACCCGCTGAAAAACAGCAAGCTACTGAAATTTCAGGAAGCAACTATAGTGACACAGCTGTTGAACACCCACCATTTAAATCGTTGTTATTTCAGCATTTACAAAAGCCATATATTCCACCGCCACCTCCTGACAATTCAATGAGTGCGGCCGCGGATTCACTGTTTTCCCTATCCTTGGAAAAAACACCTTTTAGTATCACAACCACGACAAATGTCATTGAAAATATTGACAACCCCACAAAATATTTGTGCTTTAAGTGCAAAACTGGCAGTTTCCACTCATTCGAAGCTTTAAACGAACACCAGCGTGAATGTTTGGCGGACACTCGTCTATTGCCGGCAAGGATCGCTGAAATAAGCAGTTTATTGCCTCTATCTTTACCTCCAATCCTTGCAACTCCTCCACCTTCAGCATCACCAGATGCTACTATGGACATGAACATCACGAAAGTTGTTTCACAAGCACCTGCTTCCATGGCAATATCGGCCACAGCTTCAGTTGCTGCTGCTCAAAAGAAAAGATATTATAAATGTTCCAGTTGTAATACATTTCATGAAAATTGGAATCTGTTTTTACACATTCGCGACAAACATCAGCGACATATGTGCCTCTATTGTATACGTTTCTTCCCCACAGCAGAGAAACTCTCTGTGCATTTGGAAATAAAACACGATCTCGAACAAAATCACTTCCACTCAGAGGAAGCTCTTCGGAATAGTTCTTCAATAGTAGGCGAGGTAGCTAGTGAGACGAGATTCCTTATGTGCTGTACATGTCAACATTTATTTCAAGAAAGTGAGCCTTTTTCTGACCACAATTGTGCAGAATTCATGAAGCCATGTACTTTGTGTGGGCAGAAAGGACGCCACAGCAACCATTGCAAGGCGCATCCGGACGGGAAGCGCACCTTAAAAACAAAGAAGAAATCAAAGAAATTAGGAGGTGTAGCACTAACACCCATACCCAATAGGTAAGAGAACTAAAGAAACCTGAATTATTATGATTCCAAAGTCAATTTGAACTAACCTATGTATTTAACTATAGTTGTGTGTAGATAATTAACCGACTTCGCAAAAAAGAGAAGGTTATCAATTCGTCGGATTTTTTTTATGTATGTTACCGCCTAATTTAGGACCACGTTAACCGATTTTAATAATCTTTTTTTAAGGTAAGGTGTCGCCTCGCAGGTGGTCCCATACCAAGTTGGTTTAAATCCGATCATTTGATCATGAAGAAATTAACGATAATCTTAAGTTTTTATAAGAGAATTTAAGTCAGTTTTTTTTTGCTTAAAAACGACTTGTTTTTAAATCGCGTTTTTTGATGCCTTTGAGTGGCAGGAGCTTTATGTGGAAGGATATACATTTTAAATCAGCAAATTTTTGCGTATATTTCCTTAAGCTGGAAAACCACCCACCGGCTTTGATACTTTGACTGAACTATCAAAATGTGTTTACTTTTTTTTGTTAGTGGTGTGTATTTTTGGACTATTGCACAGGGCTACAAAAAGAGACGGAATATACCCGTAACGTTACATACTGCAGGATGTAGGTAGTGTCAAATACAACATGAATAAATAATATAAAAAAAACTGTTTTAATATACAACGCTTTTATAAATGCACTAAAAAGTAGACAAAATTTAGCAAAAGTCGTTATTAACAATTTATGAGATTGTAAATGAAAAGCGTGGGGCGCATGCAATACAAAGCATTAGATTTAATTGACAATAGTCAAACTACATAACATATACCTAAAATTTCTACAGAGAAAGTACAAATTTGAGATCGATTTTAAGCGGTCGTTATTCATATACATACATATATTACCCTTCATATCAATTCTGGTCTATTACAACCGCGCACGCTTTTCATTTTCAATCTCATAAATTGTTTATAATGACTTTGCAGAAATTTCAAAATCAAAAGTTATCAAAACAAATTCTATAGGACTGAGAATTATTATTTTCTACGTTTTAGTTCATTTATAAAAGCATTGTGTATTAAAAAGTTTTTTTTTTATATTATTTATTTTCTACTTTTTAGTCACGATTGAGAGAATACAAAGGTTGCGCCGAGCTCGGACCGCTATTCCTCTCTTAACGAATTTGACAGAATCGTGGTTTGCATGACGTCACACTTGTGCAACTTGTTTACGTTTTCCTTGCAACATTTTTTCTTCTTCTTCCATTCTTGCTCACGTTTTGGCATTTCTCTCTCGCAATTGCACCAGTGTGACGTCACACAAAAGTTATTCTCAAAAATCCTCTCTGATCGGCGCAATCTTGTATTCTATCATTCTTGCCTTTTAGTCTTGTCTGTATAAAATTTTGCAATAGATATTAAAATAATTTAACAATATTGTTATATGTAGATACATACGAGCACCAATTAATTTCATTTAAAGAAATGGCGTGTCGTCCATTTCCGATGTAGCGTACTTTTTTATAGGAACTTTGCAAAGCAAAGGTTTTATTGCTACAAATGGTGTCTGGACACACCGTTAGTTGTGTACTTGATGCGTTCATATATACATTACTTGACTATTTTTGATCCGATTTTATTTATTTCATTTATTTATTTATATACAAGGCATAATTCATAAATAATAATTAAAGCAAACGCAGCGCTAGTAGCAGAGGCTTTCGGTTAGCTGGTGAAGTGTAGGTCAGATACGACAAAGTAGATCTGTGTCCTTTAGAAATTTGCAGATTTAGTTGATATTATCTTCTGCGGCATCCTTGGTTCCATGTCGTCAAAATGATGATGCCTTTGGAAGCAAGTTCTGGGCAGTTGATTTTCAAGTATACCTCTCTTACAAAAGGGCACATTTTTTGTATGCAAAATAAACTCAGTTCTCCACTTGAGAAAAGCTTGGATATCGATTTGAATTCAAACTTTTAGCCAAACCTTGGGAAAATGTTGGAGAAAAATGTAGTATATCCACTTGAGGATCAAAAATTTCTCAAAGGTTTACTTTGTGCATATTGGGGTGTTGCAGCCCTCTCTCCCCAAGTTTTTTTCAGTCGGAATTTTCATCTTATACCAAAATTGATATCGCCTAAGAATAAAAAGTTCAAAAATTTTGGCCAAATTTATCATGATAACATTTCCGGAACCAACGGACTTTCAAACCTTGAGATTATCATTTTATCACGTTATGACATAACTTTCGGGCATATACAGTGACGAGCAAAACTGTAACATGGTGCAACACTTTTTATTTCAGCCACCGCTATATTTCCAAGTTCTAACGACTTTCATCCTTTTGTTGTAGATTCTTGTTGGTACATCCCTACTCCCTCTCTCATAACGATTTGAAGTCTATACAACAACAATAAAAAACCCAGCAGACAAAAATGTAAACTAAGGCAGATGTTACAGTTTTGCACTCACTCTCAGTTTTGCATTTGACAGTTATCTCTTACTAAGTTGGAAGTTTGATGACTTTTTTCTCTATTCTAATTTATTGAAGAAGTGATCACCAGTAAATAATATAGTTAATCAGGAACCATAAATGTAAATAATATATTTGCCGCGGAAAAGCGGAGCCGCACGAAAAGTGGAAAAAAATTGTGGAATTTGCTATTTGAAAATGTTAAGACTGAAAAAAAAATATGGCCTAAAGTATTCCCAAGGACAAAGGAAGTCTGTCAAAAAATATTACGGTCCGATATCTTGTGAACTTAGCAGCAAGTAGCTATGTAGCCACTATTACAGAAGCGCTTAAGGTATTAAACTTTAATGCAAATCAGAAGACAGCGAGGCGAAGAATTGCCAAATTGAGCGCAAGGGCATCATGAAGAAGAAAAAGCAAATTTGATCAAAATACATGTGCGAGTGTGGCAGCATTTTCCTGCGTCGCACGCAAACCGGACCGTTGCCTATTGGGATATGTTAAGCCGTTCAGAATGAAATAATAAACATATTTTTAAGTTGCAATTGAAGGTTATTTGGTCTGACAAGACTAAATTAATCGCTTTCAATCAGATCGCCGGGCATGGTATTGGATCCAAGACCCAAATTAAGCGCATGCGCATCATGTATGGCAAACTGTGAATCACAGTGGTCGGTCAATAATTGTTTGGGGTTGTATTTAAAAAATGTTGTTGGTCCGTAGATACGCATTACGCGTAAGGAACACTATCTGTTCATATCTCAACAAAATTTGCAAGATGTAGTCGAAAAATGGGTGTTTCTGCTGAAAAATCATCCAAAACACACTGCACATGTTCGCAAAGCCTGTATACAAAAGCAAAAATTGGCTAATTTGAAATGACCTCCACAATCCGCGGATATGAATCTCATCGAGAATTTACGAAATCAATTAAAATCACAGCTTAATAACTATCAAAGTCCGTAAAATCGAGTACATGAGCTGTGAAAGCAAACTAAGGATTTATGGGAGGATATACCTCCAGAATTTTTACAGAGATACAAATAAGGTATGCCAAATCGCACCACGGAACTAAAACAAGCAAAAGGGTACTGAACATTGTGTTAACAATTCTTTTTTTTAGTGAAAATTGTCAAAAAGTTATTAAAAATATAAAAGGGCAAAACTGTAACATTTGCCTCAATTTACATTTTTGTCTGCTGGTTTTATTATTGTTGTTGGATTGACTTCAAATCATTATGAAAGAGGAAGTACAGGTGTACCAATAAGAATATACAACAAAAGTATGAAAGTCGATAGAACTTGGAAAGATAGCGATGGCTGAAGTAAAAAGTGTTACACCATGTTACAGTTTTGCCCGTCACTGTATGGGTAAAGCTAAGATCCTATTATACCCCCTAGGGGCAATGTGCCGATTTCCGGCGCATTTCATGTACCGATAGTTTGAACTAAGACAAGTTTTCGAAATGCGACAATCTGAGTCGAAATTGTGCTGACTACAATTAACCAAAATTAAAATTGCTGTACCGATAATGTGAAAAAATACGTCTATTTTTATCGGGCGCTCACGCCCCCAACCAAAGTCGACAATTTGTTTATTGTTATTAGCACCTGTGATCATTGTTTACCGATTATCGTCGCATATTTAATTTGGCCGATATGCACCGAAAGAGATTGTCACAATATTTAAGCTATCAAAAAGTAGTTGTACAAATTTTTGAAATATATACCAATCAAGCACGATGAAAATCGGTACATATTGTGCTGATTGCTCCGCTAGTGGGATCCTAGCTGAAGCAACACAAACTTGTCGCTGTGGTGAAAAATAAAGCAATGTTTGCATTGTTCAACTTTCACAGGCGAATAGTTGAATCAAAAGCTGAACGAAAGTTGGCTGCCGACCAACTTAATTGAAGGCGATTTGTTGAAAGGCCGCTTGCACTACGCAACTCACGCATTCAACAAAAAACTGAATGAGTATTTGAACAATGCAAACACTGCTTAATAGGCTGCATACACGGTGCGTCTGACTCGCGAATCGGTGTGGATGTGTTAGTAAAAGTAATTATGTGTTAGTTACATCAGCATGACTGAATGATTCAACTGTGTTTAGTCGAAAGGCGAGTCAGCACGTACACATATGACTCAGGAGTTAGACTCACCGTCTCACAATGGCGAAAATACCCCTTCTAGCATGAAAAAGTCAACTTTGACTTATGTAAATCGTGCAAAATAGTCACGGGAGTTTGTTTTCAAATTCCCATATTTATAACTGTATTTCTATTTCTCCTCTTGCTTTTGAATCTGTGACTCGTAAAAGTCGAGCAAACTAAATCAGTTTTTGTTGTGTAAAGTTTTTATGAAACTAACCAGGTTCACGTGTTAATCAATTACATCTACAATAAATAGTTAGTTACATTGGCGCATATTCATAGTCATATTTAGTACTCAACTAAGTCGAAACTATTCTAAGTCACAACTAAAGCTTTTCATAGTCGCCTTAGTTTCGACTTTTCTGGCTAAGTACCAACTTAAAATTTAGTTTCGGCTGCAGCTGCAACTAAGTCGTAACTAG